GGGCCTAAGGCCCAAAGGAATAAATCTCGAAATTTAGTCTAGGACAGGTACAAAAACTGGCAAAATTTGGGTCAAAGGCCCAAAACAAAAACGGGCCCAAATACTGGCCCAGGTGGACAGGAAAACCATATTTGGGCCCAAATCCCTTTCCCTCCTTTCTCTGTTGTGTTTATTTACTCGTCATTATTTGCTATTAATCTTAAGGTTTTTAAATTTTCAAATCCCTAAAAAACACTCATTTTGAACTAATCACTTAACTAAATTATTCGTTTCTTACTTGACTTAAAAAATGAATAAATAAATAAATAAGTTTACAAAATACTTCACTTGGATAATATTCTTCTCTTAAAATAGTTCTAACCATAAAGCAACTCAATTTTGCAATTTAAGTTAAAGTTAAATTATTTTAGCCAAATAAAATTAATTGTCGGATAATCGCATTAGCGGATATTCTAGGTGCCTTAAAAACCTTCCTAGAATATTAATAGGAACCTCGAACCCCTCTTTAAATATTTTTCAATCGATTTTCCTGTTTTAATCTTTTAAAAAATAAGTTTTCTTAATTTTCCTGTAAAAATTAAGTGGCGACTCTTAAAACCAGTCTTAATTATATTTTTAAATAAAACAATATCAACTCATGAGATGAAATTCTAAATTCTCCAAAAAGCTTGATTTGAAAATCTCATATTCATGTTTCATATTTTCTGAAGTTCGATCAAGAAATGTTGTGTTTATTTTAGAATAACTTTATGATAGTATATTATACTTTTGTTATTAATTTTGCTTATTTGTTAAGATTGTATGAAGAATTGAGACAATTTTGATAGTTTTCATAACTTATATTTTTTTTAATGTTTATGAGCAAAAATCTATCTATATATAATAGGAGAAGAAAAAGTATCACATGTCAGCACCACAAAATTTCTCCATTTTTTAGTTTTAAAAATTAAAATTTTAAAATAATTTTACTTTGCATTAGTTATTAAATTTAAATTTAAATTTTAAAAAATCAATAGATATTTCAAAAGTTTTTTTTAAAAAGAATTAGAAAGTTACCACAGTTAATATAACTATTTTCTATTATTTTTATTTTTATTTAAAAAAACAGTTTCTACACGTGGTTAAATTTTCTTGGACTCTTATTTTTATTTTCTAATTAGAATATTTATTTTTGTCCTATGTATTTGTGAGTATAAGTGGACAAATGGGATAATGTCATGTAGTTTAAAAACTGCCAATTGACCAAAAAAAACACTTTCAATTCAAAAGAAATAATTAATAAATAATCTAATAAAAATTTAAAATATTGTCAGTAAAATAAATAAGACTGTGGGTTTTCGTAGGGGAAATGGGTAGTATTTTTTTTCCTTTTTTAATTTATTAAATCTTAAATCTACGGATAACATGCCTAGAGGAAACTTTCAATTCATAATAAAATAAATAAATAATTAAATTACTAATAAAAAATAATAATTAAAAACTTATTGTCAAAAAAATTAGAAAATTAAAAAATGTGGATTTTCACAGGGAAAATGCGGTAGTTTTTTTCCCTTAAATTTTTTTATTAAATTATATCCAGATAACATGGCTTATTTTTATTTAATAATAGAAAGAAAAAACTTTAAATCCGGATTAAAAAAAGAAGAAGCCACGTCCTTTAAGGAAAAAAAAACTTAAATTAGCCATGATAAGAAACTGAAATTGGACTTATCTTTCACCTCCAAAGGAAACTGAAGAAATATCAAACACATAAATGAGGGACAATTCTTTCAACGGGAAAAAAGAAAATAGAAGGAAAAGTTAAAATTAGGGTGGAATTTGGAAAGTCTCCAGAAAAGGAAAGAAGACAGAGGTGAAATGGGTTGGTCCTAACAAATTGTACACATTAAGCTTTTCTTTTTTTCTTTTTTTAACATTTTCTGGCCCATGGACACAATTATTTTAGGAAAAATTACATAAGTGAAGGTCTTTTATTTAATAATTTACCACTTTTTAAAATATACTTTTAATTTATTACCATTTTTGTCAACTTTTAGCAATACTTAAAACAATTTTGTTCCTTTAAACTTAGCAAAAAGTGCTGTCATTCGCAACTTTTAGCAATACTGTCATTTAGCCAAATTGTTATATATGGTTAAAAGAATAATGTTGACAAATGACGTAAATATTTTTTAAAAAGGGTACATGTAAGTGATTTTCCCATTATTTTATGGTATTGTTATGATTATTAATAAAATTGGGGTAACACCCACCAAAATTTAATTAAAAAAAAAGAATTTTAAATAATTAATTTAAAATTTGAATTTCAAACAATAACTAACCTTATCCCTAAAAAAAACATCTAAACATCATAACCCACATCTTTGGAAAATAACTACATCATCCACATCTTCTTAAATCAACTCTTCAAAATATGAATCCAAACATGTGTAAAACAAAAATCACATTTAAACAAAAATCTGATTACACTTACAAAGATCATAAAAGCATATTTAGAGGAAGCATAGTAGTATATTGTGTGTGTATATGCACTCTCTCAATTGTTTGAGCTGTTTGATTATGATTGAAGAGAAAGAAAGAAGAAACTAACGATAAAGAAATGGAGAAATTTTGAAGAATTTCATGACGGAGGATCATGTACGCCACCTTTTAATATTTTTGGTACATAAATTACTACAATTGTTTCGTTGATTTGGTGGCTTTGCATGACATTTAATTTTTTCTTCATAAATTAGTTTTTTTCGGTTCATTTTTAATAATTATTGTAATGATCCCTTTTTATGTGATTTATGGCCGAAATATATAGTCATAACTTGGTTATTTGAATAAGATTTATTTATTACTATCATAACGATCTGACGGCGAAAAGTGTAAAGTAACAAATGAAAAATTTATAATGATAATTTTCCATGTTGGTAATTTGTGTAACTCAAATTTTTTGATAGAAAAAATCTTTTAAAAAAAAATTACATATCACATTACATATGATGCAAAAATAACAATATAGCCAAAATATTGATAGATTTTTAATAAAATAATATTGAATGATCTTTTATTTAACGAGTCATGACAACTTTAAGCAATCAATGGATCCTACAGCAATACTAAAAAGATGTTGAATTTTGATATCAAATCTCAATATCCTACATTTTCTCTCTAATTTGCATGGAAGTTTATTTTATATAGTGATTGAAATTATATTTGTTGAATATAAATAATAAGAAGATTTTTACTAATGAAATAAAAGTACAATTAATTTTTTTTTTGTAAAAGTAAAAAACTGTATAATTATTAACATAATATATCAAAAGATGAGCAATATAAAGGACATAAGTGAAAAAAATATACTTCTACGAAAACACATGGCAAAAGGTTAACACAATAATTATTGTTATGAACAAGAAAAAAAACATATAAATAAATAATTTCAATGTGGAAATATATTTAAATTCAAAATGAGAAAGCATTTTGAATTATGAATGTTGTGTATGTATAATAATACAACATTATGCCTGCTATAAGATATATCATATTTCTTTTTTTTTTTACCAAATTATTTATTTTTCGATGCAGAAGGGAGATGTATTAGAGTAATATTTAATTGTATATATTTTTGACACGATATGTATATTACAGTAAACACATAAATAATTTATTAAGGAGGTTCAAATATAAAAGTAAGCAGTAAACACACAAAGAAATTGAGAAGAGTCAACCCATAATACATTCATAAAAATAATTTTAAATTTATATAGTGTAGTTTTCTATCTAAGAGATTAATTTTCTTTAACTCTACAACTATATTAGAGTAAGAACTTATAAGTATCAAGAGTGCATACCAAGTTATTAAATAAAATGTATATAGAGAAATTAAATTGAAAGCTATACAAATGTAGGTAAAAATGACAGATCTTATAATCTCAAGAAAAACTATTTCATTATTTTATTTAATTAACATAAAGATTATGTAACACATTTGGGGAAATATTTTTTCATAAGTAAAATCACAAAAGTTATATTTATCTTTTAGAGTTGTTTAAGTTTCACTTACAAAATCATACTATAATTTGCTACTTAAAAATCTTAGTATGAAATTAATGAGTAGTTTACGAAATCAATTCTTGAAAATATCATACGAATTCATGAATACACTTTGAATATTATTACATATAACATAGAATTTGGCATAATTTTAGATCGAGAAAATATTTTTATAACTATTTAAAAAGATAAATTAACAAGATGATAAATTTTATAAATTATTTTTAATTTAGAAATTATGACATTTTAACTTAAAAATTCAAATTGCATGTCCAAACAAAACTTCAATATCCTCTCATATAATTTCATAGGCATAATACATAAATGTGCACTTTTTGGTCTCATTTCACATTTATGTCCTTCAACTTTGGGTGTGCACAAATAGTTACTTGAACTTGTATAAAATTGAACAAATAAACACATGAGTCATATATGACATAATACATCTAGGACACCATGCACGACACAACTTGCCATATAGGATGTCACATAGGTCGTGTCATGCGTTTATTTATTCAATTTTATTCAATTTTAGGTGTCTTCTTATGCACACTCAAAGTTTAAGAACATAAACGTAAAATCCAAGTTAAAGGGCACAACATGCCAAGTCTATTACTAACATTTTTGGGCATAATATACTGTTAAATATATTTTAATATTTTAAAAGACGTGGAATATTAACTGTCTCATACTTGAAAATTTGACTACTATCGACATAAGTTATGGTGAAATGGTTAGAATTTCCACATTCTTAATCAAGAACATTTGAGCCCTAATAATAAAAAAAGATTATGGTGAGGATCGCTCCTAAAAAATGAACCCTACAAAGCGTGACTTAACATTAATTATCAAGCTCCAACATAAGTACACACATGACTGAAAATAAAAAAGAAATTATTTTATTATTGCCCTTCTACTCTTTATTCCACCAGTCCACATGCCTAAAAGTTGTTAAAAATCCTTGATGAAATATATGCTGTAACAGTTTATCTCACTGTTAAATCTATCTTTAGCAATTTTACACTTTTTTTTTACAGTGACAAAAGGGTAGTGGTAGATTAGATGATACCAATGAACCATTGAGAAGAAAAAAAAAACCAAGAAAATTTTGTTAAGGTACTCTAAGATATGGCTACAGAGACTAAATCTAGTGTAGTGAAGGGGAAACCTAGCAGTAATAATCAAGTTGGGTCATCTTCAAAACCCAAATTTGATTCATCAGTTATCAAGAAAAAGGTTATTCAGATCTCATCTAAGCCATCTGCAGATTCAAAGGGTAAATCTGCCATTAATGTATCTAAAACTGAGGTAAAGATTCTTGCTTTTTGAGAAATTTTGCTTTAATTGAGATCCATCTGTATAAAGATTGGATTTTTATGCTTCATATTTTGATATTCTTGAAAAATTGAGGTGCCCATAGGCAAAAGATTCTTGCTTTTTGATAAATTTTGTTCTAATTGAGATCTATTTAGTTCAAGTATTGGGGAAAGATTGAGGTTGTATCTGCAAAAAGATTGGATTTTTATGCTTCATATGTTGATGTTCTTGAAAAATTGAGGTGCCCATATGCAAATAATTCTTGCTTTTTGATAATTTTGTTGTAATTGAGATCCATTTAGTTCAAGTATTGGTAAAAGATTGAGGTTATATCTGCAAAAAGATTGGATTTTTATGCTTCATATGTTGATATTCTTGAAAAATTGAGGTGCCCATATGCAAATGATTCTTGCTTTTTGATAAATTCTGTTCTAATTGAGATCCATTTAGACATTTAGTTGTAATATTGGTAAATAGTTTGTCTATTGGTGAAAGCTTGAGGTTACATCTGCAAAAAAGATCATGTTTTTATGGTTCATATTTTGATATTCTTGAAAATTTGAGGTAAAAAGATCAACTTTTTATGCATCAAATGTGATATTCTTGAAAAATTGAGGTGCCCATCTGCAAATGATCATTGCTTTTTGATAAATTCTGATCTAATTTTGATCCATTTAGCTCTAATATTGGTAAATAATTTGCTTATTGAGTGAAAGATCGAGGTTACATCTGCAAAAAGATCAAATTTTTATGCTTCATATTTTGATATTCTTGAATCTATGAGGTAAAAGATCATCTTTTTATGCGCAAATTTTGATATTCTTGAATAATTGAGGTGCACATCTGCAAGAAGATCATTGGTTTTTTACAGTCAATCAATCTCAATGTTAAACTAGTGTTGATCTGTAATATGAATGTTCTGTATAAACTCTGCTCTATTCGAGATCTATTTCATAACAATATCAGTTAATAATTTGTCTATTGATAAAAGATTGAGGTAGCATCTGCAAATGATCGTCTTTTTATGGTTCAAATTTTGATATTCTTGAGGTAACATTTGCAAGAGATCATGCGTTTCTCGTGTTGCAAGTATTGATTACTAGTATTCCTTTTTCCTTAGGAGTAATTAAGGATTTCCCTTTCAACTCTCTTTATCGTCTCTAACACTGAGGTACTTCGTTTAAAAGAAAGATCATTACTTTCCTTGTTCTTCAAACTTCTGATATTCTAGAGTAGTTAAAAGATTCTTCATTTCCTGTCTTTGTTTGTCTTGTTTCGTGGGAGTGTGAGATTTCTTGTTGATTTGTTTTTCGTGTTGAATTGGATATTGTATTTTGAGTGAATAGGGTTAAACTAAGATGCATGTGTGACTTAGTAACTGTATTACGCTTAGGCCATGAATTTAGTTTTCTCTAAACACCAATTACCTTTAAATTGATAATTTAGAACATAAATGTATCTATATCTCAATTGGTTTCTTTGAGTTTTCTCATCCAACCCCACCTACTCATTACAATTATTTAGTTCTATAGAAATTAATCACCGAAGCTTATTCTGCTTTGACGATGATGACCTTAATTAGTTCTTTGAATCCTTATTGTCCAAGTAAAGGTGAAAGGAAAGACAACCTCAACTTCATCCAAGACCGTCACGAAAACGCAAACCAAAACTAGAGTGAAGAAAGTGTATTCCTTGGCTGGCCAGAAGTTTGATGTTCCTGAAGAGGTGATATAATCCTTATTTCCTTCATGATCTGTTTAACAATTAATTTAAATGGAAAACCGTACTGGTCCAAGATTTTAATATTGTGTTTTCTCTTCAACAGCGAGAACCGTTGAGGTTATTCTATGAATCATTGTCAAAACAGATACCTTCAAGTGAAATGGCTGAGTTTTGGTGAGTTTTCTTGACATTTGCCTCTGGATCTTCTACTTATAAAAAGAACAAAAAACTTGTCTTGCAACCTTATATCTGTAAGCTATGTGTAGAAATACACTTGTTCAGACTCTTCAAAAATATTATCGCACCCGTGTCGGATCCTTAAAAAATGCACTACTTTTGAAAGATCCTACACATGCTCGTCAACATTTTTGAAGAGTCCGAGCAACACAGAGTAGCAGTGTGCTTGCTTGTGTCTTCATTTCTCAATATTGTTAACTGCTCTTGAATCCACCTCAGCCACTTTCCCTGTATGAGACTCCACAACAGGATTAGGTCCTACCTAGTGGCTTTAAATTCTCACACTGCAGAGAAAAATCTTTCTTTTTCTTTTTTCATAAGAATAATGTCCGTGTCAACTTACGTGCACGTCACACTAATTCTACGAGGTACGTGCTACCTCCACCAGCATTGTTACCAGGTAAAAGGTCCACTAAGGTTTGGCAAGAGTGAAATCTTTTTTTTGTTACGAAACTATTACAACTTACCTCTTTCATATCAGAATATCATGTTGTAGACAGAGTAGGAACAAAGTTTGTTTTGAAGTGAAAGAAGATTAATATTTGTAGTAATTTTAGTATAAGAAAGGGGTTCTCAGAGATTTGGCTTAGGCTTCGATTTTACTTGTAGTTTTGGTAACAAATGCTAGAAAACACTTATATACTAGTCTAGGGAAGACTCTAGATAAACTAGCAGCACATACAAATTTAAGATACTGATTCAAGAAACTTCTAGATTTATGTTTTCATAAGAGAATCAGAATATTACACTTTCTTTTGACACTAGTCAACCTTGATGTGTTCGTGTGGTTGACATTCTGGAAGAACAAAAAATTGATCTTCGACACATATTTTATTCGTGATCTTAAATAGACACTTGATTTTCTCCCACTTCTCCAAAATGACGGTCTTTTTTGGAGTATATCCGCCCGCTGCTCATTAGTGTTGTTAAATCTGCTGAAAGTTTTTGCTAGCTGACTCTGATGAAGCGATCGGCATAGCAGACTGGATTCTTGGTTTCTCGCAATAGATTGGAAATGTAGCCCCTTCTGCTAGAAATACAAATTTTCAAGAATTCTTCTCATCCGTATTACTTCACGAGTTGATTCCATAGCCGAATTGTTCTCTCGTTTGGTTCAACTGAGGAAATGTAACAGTCTTTAGTTTCCTCGAACACCTAAAGACAACAGTTTTTCCGAGATACAAAATATAGCTAGATGTGCTCCTTATATCCAACTAGCTAGCTTTTTTTCTTCCTTTTATGTAGTCTAAGATGCCTTTTATTTTCGTTGAAGGTGCCGTAGAATGCATTTTCACTCAGCAATAAAATGAACTATTTTGGTTCCTTCATGAGTGTAGAAAGAATATTTACAAACCGAGTAATGTCAGGCCTTGTGTGTGCGAGATTGGAGATTTTGAGTATTAGGAAGCTGGAAAAATTTTACACCGCTTTGTTGTGTAAATGAGTGATCATGAAGGCCCATGGCCTAGGTTGGTGACTTCCATTATACTATGGAGGGCTATCCATGCCTAAGGTCTGGTTGAATTTGGATGAGTTGAAAATGGATTGAATAAAAGTTACTAGTATTGTTTTTATTGTCCTTTCATGCTTTCGAGTTTCCAAATAGAGTTGAAATAAGACTTTTGAGGCATGTAAAATGCAGGTTGATGGAGCATGGTCTATTATCACCTGAGAGATCAAAGAAGGCGTTCGAGAAAAAACAGAGAAAGCAAAAGCAAATTCGAATGGGGACTCCTATTAAATCTCCTCCTCCGCGACCATTCATTAGCAAAGCCGAGAGCTCAAAAAAGCCACAGCAAGCATCAAAGAACGGTGATATAAAGGCGAAGAAACGATTAAAAAGTGATAGTAGTGATGACGACGACGAGTTCATTCTAAGCCCAAAGAGAAGAAAAGGGTAAAAAAAAATGAACTCTGCATTTGCAAGAATGATAGACTGGAGGAGCCATTCTTGATTTTCTGTTATTATTGAAAATGAAAAAAATCAAATAAAATTTATAGTTTACCAATTTGTACAATAAACTTATAGTTGTTATAGAAACACAGTTTTCTGTATAATGTAATACTCTTTGCTTAGGTTTTTTCTCTCTTTCAAGGATTAGAAGATGAATACAAAAATTATATGTGTGTTTTTAAAAGCTCGTATTGGAGTTCGACTAAATCTGAATTTGCGCTGGAGGTCTCACACTCCCTAACAAAGGCGACTTTGTACTTTGAGGAGTTCAATCCGAGACCTCTAAGGATGAAAGAGTACTTACTACTCCACTACAATCCTTATTGGTTGTTTGGATACTTTGTTCATGGGAAGTTGCTACAACCTTTTAAATTTTAGTGTGTGTTTTTATCTTGTGGCATTTGGTATTCGAAAGTCATTAGTCTGATTAATTCAAATTCATATCGAGTAAATTCACCAAGAACGGTAGGTAAATCAATATGGTATTTTAAATTTCCTTGAGAAAGAAATTTTCAAAACTAAATTATGTGCTAGTATGTATGGAGTTTAAAAGTGATCACTTTAATCATTTGTCTTATATACACATTTTGAAGTGATCACTACATATTTTCACAGTATATATTAAGGACTATTTCGATTACGTGATATATATTAATGTTTAAAACTGTCTAAGAGACCAAAAAAAATATTGATCTTTAGGTTTCATTGGTTATAATGTTTTCCTAAAATTGCTTCTCTAACTTGATTTTGATTTAAAATTTGTTATTTGATTTTGAGTTTGACTTGTGTCGCTTCGTTAAAATTAAGGACAAATTTGTTCCAAAATATAATGGAAGGGATAAATTTGAACCAAAAGTATAACGGGAGGGGTATATTTGACCCAAAAACATAACAATCGGTATATTTGAACTATTCTAATAATACATGGGTGTATTTGACACTTTTTCGTAACATCAATGGGGTTTGGAGAAGATAGGATGTATGCAGACCTTACCTCTATCGTTGCAGGATAGAGAGGTTGTTTATGCTAGACCCTCAACTCAAAAGAAACTTAAGGGAACGATGACAAGGATCATATTTGTGGGTTAGAGAGACTGTTTCTAATAGACCCTCAATTCAAAAGAAACGTAACAGGAAGACAACTTCTTAAAAAATTCACTTTATGTATGGGGTTCTCCCAGAGCAACATCCTTAGAGTTCATTGATGGTATTTTAAACTTGCATCTTGAATGAATTTGGAAACAATTTGGGTGGCTCAATGCCTTTAAAAATGAGGCATATACCTTAGGCCCCCAAAATTATTTTTTTTAGTAATAGTAAAATTATTATAAGCTTTTTTTAACAAAAAAAAAAAACTATATTTTTTAATTTATTTATCATTTTTTTAGTTTGTTTCGAAACATTAAAGAATGTTTCTTTTTTATGGATCAATTTTTAAATTTAACTTCCACATGATATGTTTAAGACCACAAGATTAAAAAATATTTTGGTATATATATCTTTAGTTTAAGACCATAAAAAATAAAACTTTTTTAATTAAAAAGAAAGAAATAACTTGAATCTCAGATATAAAAAAAATTAATTAAAATTTAGACCTCCAATTTATTTTTGGCTTTAGGTCACTAATTAGCTTGAGCCGCTCCGTGGATTATGTGAATTGATTATGTAATTATGGTGGCTCAGGTGTTGTAATACCTCTGCCCCATGTGATAAAAATGTTTATCAATTTACTACATCAACTAAGAAATTCAATTTATCACACAACCTTAGTCAATTAGGATGCTACTTGCTTTAGGTTTCCATAGCTTGGGCATGGGTCAACAAATCACATTATGTGTCAACAAGATCACAAATTTACCGCCTACTTTATATGATTTATCTTTTTTCCTTTTCTAGATTATTTTAGAGCAATCGAAGGTTCAGATTGATGAAATGATAAATCAACTGAAACAAAGGAGTATCAGTCAATCTAGTGCGGACCTGTTTGAAATGATTGGGAAATTGGAGCAAGCAAAATCTTATTTGCTTGTTGAAAGTAAAAGACAATTCTTAGTTTACGTGTTCTTATTTGTCAACACTAGTCTTTATTAACTACTAAAAAATTGCTAAAAATCGATCGACAGAATAGCGACGAACGGTGTCGCTCCAAAAAGCGACGCCATTTGCCACATTGTCCGTCACTTTTTAATAAAAATAATTATTTTTAAAATTATTTTACAAAAAGCGACGGACAACATCTCTTAGTCCGTCACTTTTTTTTGCGGATTTTTGAGTCAAATAGATCGAGGGGTAGGCGGTGATTAAAAAATGTTATATATATAATTAATAATTATTTATTTAATATATATAAAGACACATTCCATCACTTTTTATTAAAACTAATTATTTATAAATCAAATAATAACTTTATTTTATTTATTTTAATAATTATTTATTTAAAAAAGCGACGGACAACATCTCTTAGTCCATCGCTTTTTGGTCAAAATATTAGGTCAAACATTTTGAAAAAGCGACGGACAACGTCTCTTAGTCTGTCGCTTTTTGGTCGGTCAAATATTTTTAAAAAAGCGACGGACAAAGAGACGTTGTCCGTCACTATTTTAAAATTATGTTGAACCAAAAACGAGGTTTTGCCCATTTTCCCATCTCTCTTTCTCTCTTTTCTCTCTTCTCTCTCTTCTCTCTAAAACTAGACCGCTGCACCGTCGCCGCCCCACTTCGACATCGCCCTTCGCTCCCATAGCAATAGTCTCGTCGTCACCTTACCCCATCGGCGCCGCCACCCGCTATCCCCATTGCCTTTTTTCCTTAGCTTGTTAAAGTTAGAGTTTAATTATTATTATTTTTTCAATTCTAGTAATATTTGATTTGTTATTAGTTTGTTGAATTGTGTTATTTAATTGTTAATTTATACATTTGATTATTGTTGGTTAGGGAGAGAATTGGAGATATTTGATTTTAGGGTGGTTTTGTCCGTCACTTTTTTGAGGTTTTCAAAATTTAATTTAGAGAAAAGTGACGGACTGCGTCGCTTTTCGGAATTTTTTTTAAAAATAAAGTTGACGGACCACTTTGTCCGTCACTTTTTAAGATTTAAAAAATTATAAATTAAAAATAAACGACGGACTGCGTCGCTTTTCGGAATTTTTTTTAAAAATAAAGTTGACGGACCACTTTGTCCGTCACTTTTTAAGATTTAAAAAATTATAAATTAAAAATAAACGACGGACTGCGTCGCTTTTTGGAAATTAAAAAAAATAAAAATTATGAAAAAATGACGGACGACATTGCATTATTCAAGAAAATATATATTTAAAAAAATGACACAGTCCGTTGCTTTTTGAAAAGCATCGAACCTGACTGCATCACTTTTCCATCGATTTTGACAAAAAAAACACAGTCTGTTACTTTTGGCCGTTGTTTTTTGCATGACCTTTAGTAATGACTTTCGATCCTTTTCTTTCGGCGGGGTTTTTCGATGACTTCCCTATGGAGTTTCAACAATCAGCCCTAATAGATGTTCCTCGCTTAAAAAATAGCCTTAAGGCTTCAATAACCATCCCATGTGGTTGATGGTCGGCAGGTGGCAATGTTGACACGAGCTGCCTAAGTGGGTGATAATTCAAGATGGATGCATTTATGAGACCCTTATAAGCACCATTTTGTTTTGATGACCCCTTTACCCATCCCTTCGTTTACCACAGTTGAAACTTAATGATCAACAATTGCTAGAAATTAATAGTGAGCGTGTTAACACCTTAATGCAAGGAAGTCCTCCTGAGAGCTTCGTAAGGTCACAAATGTTCCGTTATGTAGGTATACCAGTGACTTTGATAAGTTCAAAGTTATTTGGACTTGGCAATATTAATACATGTTCAGGTGTGTTGATTAACACTATGGAAGGACTTGGATTAATCCTATCTTGGTCATAGCTAAGGCTCAAGTTTCCGCTTAAGCCTATGATTCACTTGTCTTATCAATGGAAATCGTTTAGATAGAAGTATAAACTTTTTATCACGACCAATGAGGCAGGTTAAGTATTGTTTAGTTTATGAACACTATGTTTTAATTATTATAATTTCAATCTAATTATATTTTTCCTTTTCTAGATTATCTATGAAGCAATTGAAGGTTCGGATTGATCAAATGGTACATCAGTTGAAATAAAGGAGACTTGATCAAATCTATTATGGACTTGTTTGAAATGATTGGGAAATTGGTGCAAACAAAGTTATATTGCCTTGCTGGAACTAAAAGATAGTTCTATGTTTTTATGTATTAAATCTAGTCTTTATTAGTATCTTTTATTGATTTACGAGCTATGCATGTTGGGTAGCAACAACCATCCTGATGCAGCTCCACGCACCCGTGTGTACTTTTCATGCATTTCTTATGGATTTTCAATAGTTAGCCCAAATTGACCCCCTGGATACTTTCGATTCACTTCTTACAAAGTTTTCAATGCTCTTTCTACGTATTTGCACCAAACAACATGCTTCTCAGTTTACTTTCGATTTCATTCTTATGAGTGTTTTTGATTCTGTTCCTATGGTTTGCACCAAGCAGCCCCAACGGATGCTTTTGAATTTACAGGGCTTCAACAAGCAGCCCACGTGATTGATGATCAATAGGTGGTAAAGTTCAACTAAAAACCCATGTGGATGATACTCCAATGAGAATATTTTTAGGAATCAACTATTGACTGCCTTTTTGTTCTGATGACTCGTCATTTAAACTTGAGGATCATATATTTCTAAAATTTGATTTTAAATCTTACAGCGAGAAAGTCCTCCTAAAAGCTTTATAAACTCACCAAGTGAAGTTAGCACTCTAGTGTCATTGATGGGGTCAAATTTACTATAGTTATCAATACCACTACTTGCTCAGGATTGTTAACTCATACGATCATGTTGGAAACCACACCATCCCTATTTTGGCCAACATATGAGCGCAAGTTTTTGGATTATTCAACAATTCACTATCTTTATCAATGAAATTTTTTTGGACGAGGCACAAGCCTTTTATTTTCACTGCTAAACAACGTATGTAATTTTTATTTTAGTTCATGATGAACATGTTTTAATTTTCATTATTTCACTCTAATAATTTTTTATTTCTATTT